TAGATAACATATAAATTTATAAACATTTAAATACAGTCTTGTAAGTCTGTTTAATATTGTACACACACACACACACATACGTTCAGGACTGACTACTTAATATTAGATAACAAATTAGAGGGATTGTCCCTGGGGCAAAATAACTTTCCGAGTCTTAGCAGTTCTCAATTGAATATAGATCTTCATCTTGGGTTGGGGCCTTGTGAGATTTATCACTTCCATGTTATTGTACTTTTTCTGGTCTTCTTTTAGGCAGCCATAATGTTGAGGCAGCATGGGTCCAATTCCCTTGGCATTTCTAGGTATCACAATCTCACAAAATTTCTGGTCTTCTGGTTCTTACAATTTGTCTCCTCTACAGCAATGTTCCCTAAACCTTAGTTGCAGGCATTTTGTAAAAGATGTATCAATAAGGTGTGGGCACCCTGCTATTTATAATGTTTTGCCATCTACTGCTTTTGGTTTTGATTGTTATTGTTTTGTAAGGTTTTATGGTAGTTCATTAAGTTATTTGAGACCTCATCTATTCTTTAAAGAACATGTATAATTATGAACTTTGCTGTTAGAGCTGACTTGGCTATAGCTCAGAGGTTTTGTTAAGTTATGTTTCTTTTTTTTTTTAATCTGGTTCTAATTGCTTTTAAGATTCTTCCATGTTTTCTTCAGTGGTCCACTGGTTCTTACAAAGTGCATTGTTTAAGTATTTGTGTAATTTTGTATTTTTAAGATTTGATTTGTGGCCTACTGTGGGGTGAGATAATAAAATGCTGATGGTTCCAGGAGCTGTTGAGAAGAATGTCTGTTTTGTTGGATGGGGTATTCTGTGATGTGTAGTTGAAATAATTTTTCCTATTAGTTTTTGATATCTGCTCTGAAAACATATCCAAGCAGACAAGGTTTTAATTGCTGTAATGGAATACTCTCTTAAACCCTAAGGGGTATATTGCTGTTTCGATGCTGTAAATTTCACAAATAGGTTTGGACATTTAAAAATATGTCTTTCCTGTCCAAAAAAATAAAAAAAAAAACTACAAGTCTCTGACGAAAGAAATTGAAGAAGATATCAGAAGATGGAAATATCTCCCATGCTCATGGATCAGTAGGATTAACATAGTGAAAATGGCTATCCTCCCAAAAGCAATCTACAGAGTCAATGCAATTCCCATCAAAATATCAACATATTTCTTTATAGAACATAAAAGAATAATTCTCACTTCCATATGGAAAAACAAAAAACCAAGAATCACTAAAACAATCCTGTCCAATAAAAGGTCTTCTGGAGGTATCTCTATCCCTGATCTCAAGCTGTACTATATAGAGCAATAGTAATAAAAACTGTATGGTACTGGCATAGAAACAGAGTCAATGGAATCAAATAGAAGACCCAGAAATAAACTCACACACCTAAAGATACTTGATTTTTGACAAAGAAGACAAAACCATACAATGGGAAAAAAAGATAGCATCTTTAACCAATGGTGATGGTATAACTGGATGTCTACATGTAGAAAAATGCAAACAGATCCATATTATCACCCTGTACAAAAGTAAAGCCTAAGTGGATCAAAGACTTCAACATAAAACCAGACACACTAAACCTGTTAGAAGAAAAGTGGGGAAGAGCCTAGAAATCATTGGCACAGGAGACAACTTCCTGAACAGAATTCCAACAGCATAGTCTCTAAGATCAACAGTCAGTTAAGTGGCACCTCATGAAACTGAAAAGCTTCTGTAAAGCAAAGGACACTGTTGTCAAAACAAAATGGCTGCCTAAAGATTCGGAAACAATATCTGACAGAGGGATAATATCCAGAATGTATAAAGAACTGAAGAAATTAAACATCAGCAAACCAAGTAATCCAATTAAAAATGGGTACAGAGCAAAACAGAATTCTCAATAGAGGAATATTTAATGGCAGAGAAACACTTAAAGAAATGCTCTACATACTTAGTCATCACGAAAATGCAAATCAAAACGACCCTGAGATTTCACCTTATACCCATCAGAATGACTAAGATCAAAAACTCAAGTGACAACACATGCTGGAGAGGATGTGGGGAAAGGGGAACCCTCCTTCATTGCTTGTGGGAATGTAAACTTGTACAATCAGTTTGGAAATCAATCTGGTGCTTTTTTTAGATAATTAGTAATAGTGCTACCAATATCCATCTATACTACTCCTAGGCATATATCCAAAAGATAGTCAACTATACAACAAGGATATCTGCTCAATCATGTTCGTAGCAGCTCTATTTGTAATAGCCAGAATCTGGAATCAACCTACATGTTCCTCCATGGAGGGCTGAAATGGATATAGAAATTGTGGTACATTTACACAATGGAATACTATTTAGCTATTGTGGTACATTTACACAATGGAATACTATTTAGCTATTAAAATAAAGGATGATATAAAATTTGTGAGATTTGCAGGCAAATGGTGGGAACTAGAAAAGATCATCCTGAGTGAGGTATCCCAGAAGCAGAAAGATACACGTGGTATGTACTCACTCATAAGTGGATATTAGCCATATAATAATATAGGATAAACATACTAAAATCTATACTTCTAAAGAAGCCATACAACAAGGAAGACCATAGGGAAGATGCTCAATCCTCTTTCAGAAGGCAAAACATGATAGACTTCGGAATCAGGAGAAGACAGGGAACAGGACATGAGCCTTCCACAAGTGCCCTCTGAAAGACTAAACATCAAGGTATGAAAGGATATACTGAGACTCATAGCTAAACTTTAGGCAGAGTGCCAGAATACTTTTAGAAGAAGAGGGAGATAGAAAGCCCTGGAAGGAAAAGGAGCTCTAAAAGGAGATCAACAGAGGAAAAAAAACAAACAAACAAAAAACAAAAACAAAAAACAAAAAAACTGAGCCCTGAGGGCCCTGAAGAGAATGATAGCCCAACTAAGGACAATGCATGGAGACGACCTAAAACCCCAGCTCAGATGTAGCCCATAGACTCATTCTCCACGTGGGGTCCCTAGGAAGGGGAGCAGTGGCTTTGTATGGCATGAAGTCAGTGGCTAGGATCACCTCCCCGTGGGAGGGGGTGCAGCCTTGTAGGCCACAGAGGAAGACAATGCAACCAGTCCTGATGAGACCTGATAGGCTAGGGTCAAATAGAAGGAGAGGAGGTCCTCTCCGATCTGTGAACTAGGGGAGGGCATAGAGGGATAAGAGGGAGGGAAAGTGTGACTGGGAGGAGATGAGGGAGGGGGCCTCAGCCTGGATACAAATTGAATAAATTATAATAATAAAAATCTACTTAGAGATTTAAAAAATAAAAATGTGTTTTTGTCTTGCTTATGGCTATTGCTAGAGATTATAATGCATTAATAGCATCATTCAAGAGGTTTAATCTTCGGTAAGGAAAAACATGTCTTTCTTTTTCCATCTTATAAGAACACTCACTATAACTTCATTTATCCATTATTTAGATAATTAGGCCATGAGTGTTTTTTAATATGAAAACCTTGACTGCTAATGTAAATGGTAGCTATGGGCAATGCTAACATTGAGAAAGAAGGAGAAAAAGCACATTGTACATTGACTATAAATTGGTGATCATATGGCATGAGAAAACATAGCACTGTTAGTTTTCTAAAATGTTTACACTATTATTATGATAATTATTACAATAATTGTATTATTGTAATGAATAACTGCCTGGGATTTTTTTTATGATTTTTATCTAAGTTGACAAAACATTGATCCTGGCTCATTGTTCCTGTTAACCATGAAGAATTTCTCAAAGCCAGTAGCAGGTTATAGCACTAAGCGTTTCTTCTTCTAAGCTGTGTTCTGTATATGATGCAGTTAGTACTAAAAGGAAAGGAAAGTTAACAGGAGACACACCCTACACCCTCAGGATTTCGTGACAAGTACGTGACACCTACAAACCAATAAATACAGGGGCTCCCATGCAAACACAAGAGCCTCTTTGCTGTACTTCTTGACCCCAACCCTAGATGAAGAGCCATATGCAAAAGGTGGCCGCTGAGAAAGAAACAAATTGGTTTTCTTCAGGGATGTGGCGTCTACTAGGTTATCCAATAGCAAGTATTTAGCTGTAAACACATGTACATACTTAGTAGGCTGTGTATATACATACATGTATTTATGTGCAGCAATAATCATTAAAAGAAGAGATTGTGAATTTTAAATGGAGTGGGGTGATCACAGGGGAAGTACAGGGGTAGAAATCATGTAAACACAGCACTCATGAATGAAATTCTTAAAAATCAGTGAGTAATATTGGCATTGAAGAAACTGCTTACCATCGGGTTCTCTAAAATGAGATCTGGTCGACTTAATGCGTGCGCATACGCACACACACACACACGAATGGAAATATATCTCATGCTTTTGCAATAATTAAAACACCTATCCTGCAGAAAAGATGTGTAATCATCAAGGATAATTCATGGTCAGTTTGAATATTACTCTCTTCGCACACACACACATACACACACACACACACACACACATTTGGAACCACTTTCAAAACTGTGAGGGACAGGCATGAGGACAGTCTCAGTGGGTAGGAGCACTTGCTGCTCTTGCAGAGGGCCTGGAAACCACATCATGTGGTTCACAATCACCTGCCATCCAGTTCCAGAGGGATCTGTTGCCCATTTGTGGCCTCTGCACAATGCAGTGAGGTCTATAGACACATATAGATACAGATTATGAAAAATAAAACATCTAAAAAAAAAAAGACTGTTTCTGTTCTGCATGGAGGAAAAACCCTGGAGTGACTGTCACTTCCTAGGAGCATGCTTGTAGCTGAGTGAGAGCTATTATCTTAAGATGCATAAAACTGTTTCTTTCGCCAAATTAAGCAATTTCTGGTTTTGCTTCCACCCAGTTCTTACGCTGTTAAAAGTTTCATGTAGTGTTTTCATTTACAACAGAAGCATTGTGTAGTTCTTAAGACATAGAGCTGCGGGAAGATAATGCTTCTGTTCCTTTCTGTTTCAGGACACGATGTCTTCCCCCAGTCGCCAGATCAGGAACCTACAAGTTCTGAAAATACTTTGACCTTGATGGATGATTCCGGCTGTGTTTTATCAAATGAGCCAAGAAGCCAATCCCCAGAGTTGTCCCAGCATTTTATGGAGGGCTGCAGTCCCCCATTCCTTCTACCACTGCCTCTTGAGAAAAAGTCGTGCACCACCAAAGATGGTCCTCTGACTTCTCACATGCAGTTCCTGCAACATCTGCTTGAACTGAAGAACCTGACAGAATCCAGTAGTACGAAAATATACTTAACCCACTTTGAAAAAGACTCTTCTACAGTTTCTGATTCTGTTTCACAGTTGTTAGATGGCCTGATCACATTTTACCAGAACCCCAAAGTCCCTTTTTCAAGCTTTTGGACAGAAGCTGTTGGTACATTAGCCAGAGTGGCAAGTGATTTTAATTTATCTAATCATATTCTTAAAAAATGTTCTAAGAAGTTGGAAGAATTTGAGAAAACTCTACTTCAGGCTATTTTAGGGAACAACAGTATAAACCGGGTAAGTAATACATGCTATCTAATTATGACCTAATATGGAAGCCATATATATGAGCATTTGTTTTGGCAGAAATATTGGTGGGTTGTTCATGTTTGTGACTGAGAGTCCATAATTGGGCCTTCTGTACATGTGCTCATCTTTTTCTAGTTGAGTGTTTCTAGCCTTCCATTGCTACAGTGTTGTTCTTTATTGAGATGCCCATGCCCGTGCCTCAAGCTTCTGTTGCCTCTAGTTTAAATTCTTTACCTATTGTAATTTCATTTTTTTTTTTTAGCCTTTGACTTTTTGACTTTTTTTTCCCTTTTGTGTCCTTGTTTACTTGCCATTGGTCAAAAAGTTGCAATCCTATCCAGACGAACACTAATGCCCAGGGTTCATACTTTGTGACCTCAGTGATGCAGCTCCTCACGTCTAGTGTCTGGAAAGGGATGTGGAGGGGAAGTAAAGATGAAAGTTATTAACATCGCAAGTCATATTCAAGGAGCCTGAAGCCAAAGTAGTCGACAGAAGTCCATTAGAATATCTTGACAGGGTCAAAAGAACACGTATCGATCTGACACCTGCATACTTTTGTTTGGCCTAGAAGGCTGCTCTCTACAATGATGAAGCCAGGGTCTGCCTCCAGGCTTTTTGATAGTTGTTGAAGTGGCTAGAATAAATAAGATGTCCTTCCCATGTGTCTTCTAGATATTTGTTCATCATCCAAGTTTTAGATTAAAACAATAGTGTGTTTTTCTCTTTTGACTATAAGCAAATGCTGTTGTGAACTGAGGTTTGCAGTCATACATCTAGATACAATTTTACTTATCGTGAAGAGATTAACTAGTGGGAAATAGTTGTCCAAGGAACATCTTATATAGCTTAGAACAATTAAAATGTTTGGAGATATATTTCTTGAACTATTGAACATGCCCAAATTTTAAGTTTCAGATGTATTTTCTTGCTGGATAAGGCTTTGTAGCTATCCAAAATTTATCATCTCCTCCTCTTTTGTACCACCAAGACCAGTTGATGATTTTGCCCTCAGGAGTCTCTTGGACTTGAGACAAATCTTTACCACATATAGCCCTTTCTCTTTTTTAAATTTTTTATATTAATTACAGTTTATTCACATTGTATCCCAGCTGTAGCCCCCTCTCTCATTTTCTCCAAGTCCCACCCTTCCTCCCTTATCTCCCTCCAAGCCCCTCTCCAAGTCCATTGATAGGGGAGGTCCTCCTCCCTTCCATCTGACCCTAGCCTATCAGGTCTCTTCAGGACTGGCTGCATTGTCCTCCTCTGTGGCCTAAAAAGGCTGCACCCTGCTTCATGGGGAGGTGGTCAAAGAGCCAGCCACTGAGTTCAAGTCAGAGACAGTCCCTGTTCCCATGAGCTGCCATGGGCTACATCTGAGCAGGGGTTCTAGGTAATATCCATGTATGGTCCTTGGTTAGCATATCAGTTTCAGAAAAGACCCCTGTGCCCAGATAATTTGGTTCTGTTGCTCTCCTTGTGGAGCTCCTGTCCTCTCCAGGTCTTACTATCACCACCTTCTTTCATAAGATTCCTTGTACTCTGCCCTCATCTTGTCTTTCTTATACCACTTTTTCCATCTTTGTGAGAATAAGTCAAAAGCCTTGCATGACTGTGGCTTCACTGGGAAGTACTGACAAAATCATTCCTTTGTATGACCTTGATTGCAGACTGGTCCTTTGTTAGAATTCACCACATGGAGTCTCCATGACCTTCATTAACAACAGAATGAGGGACTCCCCACAATTACAGAATGTTTCTAGAGATACCTGATATCTCTAGATATATTTCTAGAGAAGGAAAAGTAGTCTCCTTTTTAAGCCTCTGGACATTATTAAGAGTATTGGCTTCCAAATACGGTAATTGAATACACGGAAGATCAGTTACACCAGTCTTGTAATTTGAAGCACTCTGTAATATATACCAGACCTCCATGGTGGTTTTTGTTGTTGTTGTTGTTTGTTTGTTTGTTTGTTTTGTTTTAATGGTGACATGTTGTTTTGTCTAATGTAACTTCTGATTTCTATAAGGGACTTAAGAGTCTTCCTAGTCATGATCCTCCAACACTACCCAGACATCAAAGGAAGTTGAAACCTTGAAATAGCTGGACTTGGAAATCACATGTGATTTTACAGTAGCCCAGAGAAAACATGGGCAAGCACAAAGTTCATCCTGGACCCAAAGGATAAACTGCAGGTGCTATATAAGCTGCTGCTAGTGGACAGCTACAACAGCCAGAGACAAAGGGAAATCAGCCCCCTTATTCTGACATAAAAATTCACGATCCTTATCATTGGGTAGTGCAGCCTTTGCTGGAAGTCTCCCATTTCCATGATCCAATTAAGCATGCAGGAAGGAGAAAACCAAACCAATACAAAGCAAAAATGAGAGAAAAAGTGTGGGCTATGTGACTGAATGAATGCCTGTGGTACATGAAATTAAGGGGTGCCAGAAGATTTTATGGTTTATATTATGTGATTGCATTAAGCAAGAAAGCAGTTACATCACATTTCTTTCCCTCTCTTGATGAGGTCCCTAACCAAGATGCTCATCATTGTAGAGTAAACACTGGTTTGAATTCCCAAGGTAGGATTGAACAGATGATGAACAGGTGACTCCCAGAATTAAAAAAAAAAATTGAGACATGTCCCACAATTCTCTGGGACCTACTTGACCTCAGAGAGAATACTCCATTTTAATCCTTTTGATCTCATTGATTAGTCTGCAAGTATGGTGACTGAAACTAGTGGGTTAGTTGCATCAGTCTGCTGCTCTTCACTATTGTGTAATTCTTAGATAAAACTTAGAAAAATCAAACACATATATAAACTTTGATTAGGAACAATTTTTTTTATCATTATTTAAGCTAGTCCTTGTAATCATTACAGAGAGTATTATACCATCTGGTTTAAGCAGAATTCTGACATCAATGAGTTGAACTTTTACCACTTGAATAACTTATATAACCTGCTTAGACCCTTGGCAACTTGCTTAAATTTTCCAGATTTCTTTTCCATTTTGGAAAATACACACACACACACACACACACACACACACACACACACACACACACCAAGCCACATGATTGGACATATTAATAGTAATATAAACTTACTAAAATGAGTTTGAACCTAAAATGTATACATAATAAATTAATATTACCTGTGTCCATACTATTAGAATATGGAGCTTGATCAGTTCCCAGGTAAACCTAATAGAAGACAAAAGACAGTGCATCAGATAATAGTGACAGTGCCTTTACTCCCTTGCTGTTTTGCTTTTCTCCTTTTCCTTTCACGGAGTCAGAGTCAACCTGACTCAGAAAGGGTGACTTTGGAGAACATTTATGATAAAATACTTGAGACTGAAGTTGGATGGCTAACTCTTGTCTTCAGAGCCAGGATTCAGTAGGCTCAAAAAGCACATGGCAATTAATGAATACACAAAAGACATTTGTTCCTCCATTAAACTGAACCTAGTGGTTTACACTGAAGAGGAGGCTTGCTGTTGAGTGCAGTGACAACTTGAAGCACCTGTTCTCCTTAACGATACAGATTTGTCCAGATGGGACAAATCTGATGGGTTCTGTATTGTGATATGAAAAGGGATCAACAAGCTTTCCTTTTACTGTCTTTATAAGTTCATGGGTGAGAAGCAGTGTATATCCGTGATCAGGGAGGATGAAGCTGGTAGAAGAATCTACCTTTTACAGTGTCTATCTGAAACCCTGGCCACACTTGGTATAAGCAATTGCTTGGAAGTCTGTAATAAACGGTTATCTTTTGACTCTGCTAACAAGAAGGTTATATGAATGAATATAAGTGAGCCAGAATTCCTGCAAGGAGACTTTCCACGGGGTAACAGGGCAACACTTCATATCAAAAGAAAGTCAATGGGGGCATATAACAAACCAGGTATATGCATGCAGAATCTTAATAAATGCTGAAAGCATATTTCTAAGCTTTTTAAAAGCCTTAATTAGATTTTGAGAAAATTTAAATGTGTGATACTAGTACAAATTTACATCCTTACATTTTAGGGTTTTAAGTTTTACTTAGGTGTCATTTTTTTAAAATTTATTTTTGAAGTTGTTATCGCAACATTGCTCTTTTCTCTACATCCATACCTTTATGTACACCCCTTCTTGCTCTCTTTCAAATTCATTGCCAGCCTCCACTTACAAATCTATATTTATATTTGAGTGACCTCAAAACGGCAGTCACTGTTTTTCATCCTTTCATAGATATTAGCAGTAAAACCTACTGAGGATGGGTTTAGGAATTTTATATTGATCAGAACACATTAGTGAGGTGAAATGCACTTCCCTCTACCCATAGCACCCAAGGACTAGTCCCATATAGAGTTCATTTCCTGCTTTCAATCAAATGGACAGCAACTGACATAATTTCTTAAAGTTACAGAGGAGTTAACATCAATGTGAAATCCTAATTTCATGACATTTCTATTCCTATAATAGCAATCAAAGAAGGCTGTATATTTATCATTACATATGATCTGTTTAAATTCAGACTTAAAAGAATCTAATGGAAAATATAATTACAGCATCCTAATAAAGAATTATTTTCTTTGTGACTCGAGAAAAAAGACAGGTTTGTCAGCTTGTTTTTTGAGTGTCTGAGGATTTAATTCTAATTCTGCTCAGTGTTTGGAAAGGCAACTTACAGGTTACTTTATTAAAATCCGTTTGTCCCATCTGCAATGAGAAGGATAAAGAGAAACAGAGAAGCCTTGGGTCAGGGTTGTTTCATTCCCTAGTTGACCTGGATGGGGATGTGCAGTCTGCCAGCAGAGAATACCTGGAGAGCTCAGACTGAGTATGCTATTACTGCACCTTACCCATGGCTTGGAGCATTCCCATCTCTCTGTTTCCTCCCTTCCTGAACCATACAAGCTCTAAGGGAAACCTGTCATAAATATAAAATGGGTGTGGTGGGCTATTTATTATTTGCCCTATGATTATTATAGTG